ATTATCTCATTTGTTTGTTTATTGTCTGTCTTCTCCAGTGGAAGGTAAGTTCCACGAGACAGGAGGAACCATGCCTGTCCAATTCAGTGCTGTAATGCCAGCACCTGGCACGGGGCCAGCCACATAGTAGTGTTAAATAGAGTGGACGAATGATTTCATTGAAGCCCCACAATAAGCCTTTGTGATGGTAACTATTATTATCCCCATTTCACAGATGAAGAAATCAAGGCTCAGCCACATGCCCAAGGTCACACCATTAGGGGCCCAGCCAGATTTCTAATGTAGGTCTCTGATTCCAGGTGTGATGGAAGGAGGTGGGGACCAGCTTTCCTAACCTACACTGCACCTGGCTCCTCTTCCCATCTGTCTGTGGGTGTCTCCACTCCCAACCCAGGCATCCCCAGAGACACCTGGGCAGAGAAGGGAGGAGGATGGTTATAACTGTAAAGAATGTAAATCTGACCTTTTCTTTCAGAGGCTTAGAATCCCTCTATGGCTCCCTCTTTCCCTTTTTAGGCTGACTAGCAGGCCCTTCTCTTGGCCCCTGCCTTCCTCTCCAACTGCACCTGCCCTCCTGAACAGCCTCACCTTCTCCTCCTCCACCTCCAGGCCCTCGCACACACTCCTAGCTCCACCTGCAAGGCTCACCCCTTCCTCAGTGGGCTAGTCCCCATCTGCCCTTTGAAACTTGGCTCTGGCACCACCCCTTCCACGAAGCCTTTTGGACTCCTGCTGGAGAAGACACCTCCTTTGGCTCTCCAGCTGGAATGTACACTCAGGGGAGGGCTGAAAACACGATGTGGTCATTGTTCACCTGTCTGCCTTTCCCACAGAGACTGTGTGTCATTCTCAGGGTGTCCCAGTACCCTGTGTGGGCTGGCACAAGGGAGAGGCTCAGGAAATGTTTGTAGAATGAGTGAACCAACCAGGGGCCAGATTTAATACCCAAGTCCCTTGACCCCTGACATATTTCACAGGTCTTGACCTTAATAGGAAGAGCTTGTCAGCCCACCACTGTCTGGCCAAGTGAGGGGTGGGGGTGATGTGGGGCCCTCCTGCTGATTCAGCATCTCCTCTAATCAGGAAGTGAGGCCTCACGGTTAGGGGCCGGTCACCCTGGCCACTGGTAGAGGGGTTTGTAATTCTCTAACTGGAGGATTGGTGGGGTCACGGGGTTGCACACTGACCCTGGGGGGCTGACCTGAACCCTTGTGGATGCAGAGGCTGCCAAAACGGCCTTTGCCCTTCCTTTCCCTCTCCTCGCCCCCTACGCCCAACACTAGACTCGGCTACGCCCCATCAAAGCCTGATCTTGGCGATGTCTTCTTCTTCATGCCCCACCCCTATCCCCCAGCCCGTCTCCCACAGCAGATCCATCCACCTGTCTCCGAATGTAGCGTGGGGACCTGGGTGGGCGCCAGGCTCTGTGAAGCCCCACCTATGGGAATGGATGAAGGGGCGCCCGCGACCCCCGCCGTACCCGCGGTCGATCCAGGTTTACACGGAGGCTCATCCAGGATTAGTCTCTGCGCTCGGCTAATCCCAGCGGCTGAACCGACCCCGGGTCCGGGAGCCAGGCCCACGGGGCGCGGGTGGGGTAAGGGGCACGCGGGCCGAGCGGAACCGCGCGCGGGGGAGGGGCGCCCCGGGAGGCGGGGCAGGGAAACCTGCTGATCCGGTCTCTGTTCTTCGACCTCTCCGGAGCCGGGTGTTTACCCGGGAGCCGGACGGAGGAGGCCGGGGCCGCTCGGCCCGGAAGCTGGGGGGAGGGGAATGCAGTCGGAGACGGGGGCTGAGACCTTTTCGGGTCCTCTAAATCGACTTCCAACCCTCGTTCCTGAGCGTGGGAAGGAGCGACAGACAGACAGATGTCTCCCGCCCCTTCTCCCATCCAGTTCCGTGATTCGTGCTCGTTGCCAAACGAGGGGAGAGCGGGAATGGATACATGCCCCACAGAAGAAGGCAGCACACCGTTCCTCCCCTCCCCCCTCCCCCCCCAATCCCTAGCCTGTACCTCAGCTCCTGGTGGGGATGGGGTTGCCTGGAGCGGGTTGGGCCCAGCGGATCGGGGCGGGGGGCCACTTTGAAGTGTACAGAGAAGGTGGTTCTCAGTCTGCGTCCTCTAGCCTCCCACCCCCACCCCATTCCTGTGTGGCACCGATCAATCCCAGGGTGGGTCCCGGTCCCTCTTCTCCCGACCGCGTCCCCTGGTCCCCTCCAAGGCCTCTACCCCAGACTTAGCCCCCAATCTCCCCGGGACGCCGGCCCAAGGGCCCGGAAGAAGCGAAGTGGGGTCCGGTTTTCACACTTTTATTGTAAAGCTCGGGAATAATTACACGGGTCTTTCATTGACAGCTCAGCAAACAAACCGGAAACGAACCGAACCCGAGGGGGTAGGGGCGGTGCCTGCGCATGCTCGCGGCGAGGGGCGGGGGAGGGGGGGTCAGAGAAAGAGAAAGACAGAAAGAGACAGAAATCATTACAAATCAACGGGATTGTGCTCGCAGCGCCAGGGATGGGGTGGAGCGGGGGCGGAGCAGGGGCCCTTCCCGGGAGGAGCGAGGCGGTGGGAAGTGGCACGAACCAAGAGAAACACGACCCCAGTGCGGGCACCCGACGCGCCCAAAACCCCCCTCCCCGAACCCCACCCCCCAACACACGAGAGAGACACAGCCCCCCTCCCCACTCAGATAACCCGAGGAGACACAGTCTCCCCCTCCCCATGGGCAGACATACCCGCCCGGGAATCCCATGGGCGAGACACAGTCCCCCCCTCCCAGAGAAGTCCCGCGTGGAGATGCCCCCTAAGAGACTTTCTCATGGCCAACACAAGCCCTCCCAACACCAAGAGACCGCCCGCCCCCCAGGGAAGAAATGGCTCCAGAGGCCAGGCCCTCAGGAGAGAGAGGTATCCCAGAGCCCCTAGGAGAAAAGACAACTCAGAGCTGCCCAGTCTTCATCCCAAAGTGCAGGTCAGAGACATCCCCCGAGGAGAGATGCGGGAGGGCCAGAAACATCCCTTCCCAGACATGCTTCAGAGATAGCCCCCTTCCCTGGGAAGAGAGATGGCCCAAGACTGACATGCCTAAGTACCCCCAGGAATCCTGGGAGGAAAACAGGCTCCTCAGAGAGCCTGGGTAGGGGGGAGACATGCTCCCATGGTCCCCAGTGGGAATGCATGTCCCCCAGAGACTCCCAAGGGGAGAGATACGGCCTAAGGAGCTCCCAGAAGTGAGGGATACCCCCAGAGACCCTCCCACTGGGATGTGAGACATGCTTCAGGGACCCTAGGAGAGAAAATATGTCCCCAGATACCCTCCCCCTGCCAAGAGACATGCTCTGAAGTAGGGGGGTGGGGACCAATTAGGTCCCCTCTAGGAAGACACTGACTGGGTCAGGCTGGGTTTGAGGGGGGTCTCCTCTGGCCAAATGTCGCCTATTTGTACATAAAACTGTACGCGACACAAGGCATTGGGGAAAGGCTTCACAGACCTAGGACCAACACGGGTGGCCCCAGTGCTGTCACCCATCCCCTGCCCACCTTTGGTTTCACCTCTCGAGTGCCCAGGTGGTAACAGACTCAGTGCCCCGACCCCAACCAGGGGGCTAGGGGCTCTGTCTTTGCCTGTGAGAAGGGCTCCTCCTCTGTGCTTCTCAGCCCTCCCAGCCACCTGGGCCACCCCCTTCCTTCTGGCTTCTCCATTGTGCAAAATGCTCCTCTTCCCTTCCACTCAGTGCTCAGGGGTCTCCAAGACCAGGGCAGTGTGCCCAGGCCACCAGGGGCTTCTGGGGGGAGACCACTGACCCCAGGAATGCCTCCTGTCTGGACCACCCTCTCCACCAAGCAAATGGGCCTGATACAATCTTCTTGCCAGAATCCTGACCTCCAGGACCCAGGACAGTCCTCAAGACAACCGCCCCACCAGCTGGGCACCTCGTATTACCAGCTCCACCACTATTGCACCTGCCCCGTTTGTGCAGGGGGAAGGGGCTATCTCTTTAACAAGCCCCAGCCCACTTCCTGGGCCTCCCCCAGGGAAGGAGCCTTTGGCCAACCCCTAGACCTGGTTGCTGCCACCCCAGCCCACTCTACCCCCTGCCCTCCGTAGAAGGGCTGTGTATGCTGGGGCCACCAGCCTAACAATGCTCTCCTTCCTAGCACTGTTACCCTAAGGTAGGGGCGAGGAGCAGAGAATAGGGTGATTCTTCAGCCCCCTGGCTTTTCCGAGGTGGAGGTGGGGTCTCTGGGGTTATAGGAGTCAAGACCCCAGTAGCACAGCTCCCAAAGGCACCAGAAGACCCAGCAGCCTGTACCCACCCCTCCCACCCTTGGGCCGCCCCCACGCTTAGACTAAGTTAAGCAAGGGCCATACCCTGAGTCTCCAGCCTCCCAGCCTGGGCCCCTGGGGAGCTGGAGAGGTATGGGCCAAGGCAGTGGGGGTTTCTGGAAGGAAGAGGGACTGAGGCTTTGAGATGGCCACAGTGGGAGATGGGGGCTCTGCAGGATGCCCCTCACACCCTGGCCCCCTGAGGTGAAGAAAGGAATCCCACCTCATCATGGCTGACTGGGCTTCTCTGCCCCCAATCTCCCAACCCCCTCCCCCATGGGACCCCTGACCCTGGCAAAGGGAAGCCCAACTGGAAGAAGGGGGCCTGGAGCCCAGGGTGCCCTGAGGCAGCCCTTCCCACCCCCTGAGATCAAGGCAATGGTGGTTTTACAGGCTGACGGGTCAGTCATGGCAGGGGCTGGGAGATGGGGGGCAGGGAGGGGGCAGGAGGCAGGTCCCCCCTACTGGGGGCAGCAACCAGCCACCCCCTGAGCAAACCTTCCTGCTCCCAACTCACCCAACCAGGCCAGAGGCACAGTCATCCCACCCCTGTCCAGCTGCCCCCCACAGCCTCAGGGCCCCTCTGTGATGCTCATCTGGATGTGGGGGGCCAGCCTGAGCGGGGATCCCCCCCAGGGCACAGCGCAACAGTTCCAAAAAAATAGAGATTTGTATTTTTAAAAAAAATTAAATAAAAGCCCAGCTCTGCTGATAGGCGAATGTTACCCCCATCCCCACCCCCACCCACCCGTTGTTTCCCTGGCCTGCACCCCCATCCCGCCACGGCCCCAGGGGTATTTACAACATGGAACAATAGAGGCCTGGGGTAGGGGGCACTGCGGCAGGGAAAAGGGGGCACAGGGCAGGTTCCCCCCCCAGGGGTCCCCCAAGACAACACAACATCAACAAGAAAAGTTGCAAATCAGGCAGAAATGGGGACATCATTCCAAGGTCCTTATATACAGACACTGCATGACCAGCAGGGAAGGGGGGCCCGGATGGGACCAGGCATGGGCATATGGCAGGCAGGTGGGCCAGCCCAGGAGCAGTACGGGAAGACAGGCCTCCACCCCACTCCCACCCCCATCCCCACCCCACCTTTGGTAACAAAAGCCCTTCAGGAAGCCCCTGGTGGTCAAGAGTTTCCTCTGGGAGTACCCAGGGAGAGGGGCTCCCCAGTTCAGCCCTGCTTCAGGGCTGGAATGGGGGCATCCTATCCCCGCCCTGGTCGGCCATGCGGGAAACGATGGGTTAAAAGTGTGCTGCCCACTCTTGACTCCACCATCTGCCCAAGTGAGAGGGTGCTCCCTGAAAGTCGAGGGAAGGGAGCCTAGTCATGGTAGAGGAGCCCTCTTGGGCATCAGCTGAGAGGAGCCCCATAAAGGGAAGAAGGGACTCCTGGGGGCTGGGGGCTGAAAGAGGGAAGAGGACCTGGACCCTGCATGGGGGAAGGGCCAGCATGGTCATGAGGCCAGTACTCCCCCCCAACTCAGGGCCCTGGCCAGGAAGTCCATGCTGGAGGGGTCAGGAGTGGGGGCCCTGGAATGGGCCCATCTGGAGCTGACCGGTGGCTGGGGGAGAGGGTGGCCGCCGGCCAGAAGGGGGCTCACAGGTAGATCTCACGCTTGGCCGTCTGGGCAGATGCCGGTGTGGCTGCGGGTGGGAAGTCCGAGGTCTGGGTCAGGGGGATTTCCTCCAAGGTGGCCGAGTCCTTGCAGGAATCATGGCTACTGTGGGAAAAGGCACTGTAGGAGGGCAGGAGGCGCACGGGGGCCGTTTTGGTGTTCCGGTCTTCCGGGGGGCTGGGGCTGCCGGCGCCCGCAGGCTCCTGCCCTCCTCGGTCCTGGTAAGGCACGAAGGTGGAGAGTTTGAGGGCGCTGCTCTTGGTCCGGCGGCTGGGAGACGACTGGCCAGGCATCCAGCACGTGTCAGAGTGGCCAAACTCGCTGCACTCCCGGGTACATGTGCCCGTCATGGCGACATCAGGCAAAGGGCGCAGGTCTGCAGGAGAGAGCGAGGACAGTGGTCAGGCAGGACAGCCTCCCGAAGCTCTGCTCCATGGCCTCCCACTGGTGCCTACACCCCGCCTCAGAACAGGGGTGCACGCCCCTCCATGCCCACTGAGCTCACAGGCACACATGCCCTTGCACCATCCATCGCACACTTGCTCTCACACAGACACACACACACATACACACTCTCTATCCTTAAATAGACACATTCCTTCCATCCTCACCCACCAAATCTGCCCTCAGACAGGTGCACAAACACACAACTCATCTTCACTCTCCGTCATCTATCTCCAGACAGGCTCAAACATGCAATTCTGCCCTCAGGTAGGGGAGAGGAAACCCCTATCCTCATTTAAGGACGCAGTCTCTCCTCTCACACACACACACACCCCTACCCTCAGATAGGTGCCGACACACAATTCTACACTGCGCATCTCTATCCTCAGACAAAGGTGGGCACATACCTTCCTCTGAAGCCCCTCAAGCCTCACCACGCTCCCAGCTGTCCTGGAACCCCGCCCCACCCCAGCACAGCAACACCCTGCTTTAAAGCCAGGGGAGTGGACAAGCTTCTATGTGGGGAGTTCACATAAAAGTACACACTCACACACCCACAAGCACACTCATGCAGCCCCTCCCCGCCTCACTGTGGCCCCCTACACCAACCACCACCCCTGGCCTTGCCCCGGCTCCCTGCCCAGAACACCCACGGGAACAGGAGTTGGCCGCCTGACATCAGCAGTAGCCGGTGTGGTTGCTGGGCAGCAGGGGGGTCTCCATGGGAACGGCTGGGCCATGAGCACTTCCTGTCGCAGTTGCCCCTGTCCCGCCCTCGCTCGGGGACAGTACCAGGCGGTGACCCCCTCCCCGGAGGGACGTGACTGAGCAGCAGTGCTGGGACAGGGGCTCCCCTGGCACCACCCACCCTGCCTTGGCCTCCTGCCAGTGCAAGGTGAGGAGGGGACAGCTTTATTGTTAACCCTCAAAGCGCCGAGGCTCTTTGGCGCAGGGCAGAGCTGGGGGACCCAACATGGCACGGAGCAGAGTATGGGCACTGGGTGGGCGGGGCTGGGTGCTGGGCCAAGTCCCACAGACCCCAGACCCCAGACCCCAGAGCAGTTCCCACATACCTGGCACTCCACCTCAGGGCCTGCTCCGGCCAGCCGGCTCTGCGCGGGCACAAAAAGGACGAGACTAGCATGAGATCACACATGGAGGGGCAGGGCGGGGGCGGAGGGCACTCTGAGACCTAGAGCCTAGGATGTCTGACAAGGGCCCTGTGCCTGAGGAGTGGGGAGTGGAACTTTTCATCTTTTTTGGGGGGCGGGGGAGTTTGGGCTGAGGGAGGGGGCAAGACCCCAGGACAGCTCCAAGCTGGTGAGTCTCTCCACCCCAAGGGGAAGCTTATTCAGTCTGCCCCTCCGCAGGCCACCATGGATGCCTTCACACACGCACATGCACACGCATCACACACACACAAACTGACAGCACACCCACCATCCACTCCCACGCTGAGCTCTGCTCCGGCCCAGACCACCCTTCTGCCATTACCCTCCAGCCCCCTCCCACACAAGCCTTTCCCCTCCCCAGACCTGCCCGCTCCCTTTCCTCAGCCAAGCCCTCTGCTGCTCCTCCCCGCAAGGGACCATCATAGCCTTCTCTGAGCTGCTCATAGCATCCAGGGTCCCTCCCTTTTCTCAAGAGCCTCTCATCCCATTAAGGGACCCACATTACCTCAAGGTTCCCTCACTACTACCTGAGCCCCTGGGCACCCGTCCAGGGGCCCTGTGCCCAGGGAGGCAGTATGGTCTATGCTGGATGCAAGGGCTTTGGAGTCAGGGAGGCCTGGGGATGAGTCCCTCCCAGCTCTGTCTCTTCCTATGAATAACTTGGGGCAAGTGACTCAACCTCTCTGAGCCTCAGTTTCCTCCGCTGTAAAGCGGGCACAACAAAGTTCTCAGATCAGAGAGTAGTAGTGAGGATTAGATGAATGTGCCCCTGAAAGCACTCAGCACATGATTACTGCTGAACATACACCCAGAGCTCAGCACATGGAGGGTATTTCTAAGGTCTCGTCACCACTCCTGGGCTTTACTCCTTCCTGGGGTGTCCCGACCATGCTGACGCCCCTCACCGTTTTCAGGGTGCTCCATCTCTCCGATGCTGCCGTCGGGGGTGGTGCGCTCATAGTGATCCTCAGGCAGAGCCAGGGGCCCGAGTCGGGGCCCTGAGGATGACTTGCTGGATGGCGTCTCAGACTCCTCCAGACCACTGTCGTAGTAACTGTGCTGGGACGGGTCCTGCAGCTCCTGGGCCTGGCTGGTGGCGGAGAAGGTGACGCGGCGGTGAGGTAACTGCAGGGAGACTGAGTGTCAGTGCCGGCTTGCCAGCCTGCCCCGTGGGGCCACCACCACTCCAGGCCCCAGCCAGGCCCACACAGAGCCTCCAGCCCCCAGGCCTCAGCAGCAACCAAGAGGCCCAGCCCCCTGGCACAGCAGAATCCCCCAGAAAGCACAGATCCAGATAGAAGACTGCCCCTGAAGACTAGCACAGCTCCCAAGACAGCCAAGACCACACACTGCAAGTCCCAACATAGCACAGGCCCCAATGTTGTTAGAGCCCCCAGGCCACCACAGTTAGCCTAATCCTGTACAACCACTTGTACAGCACAGCTTCCCAAGACTGGCACAGCCTCCCTTTAATTCCAGAGCAGCCAACACCAGAATAGCATAATGCCACCCAACTCCCCTACTTCCAGCACAGCCTCTAAACACCAGCAGGCCTCCAATTTCTAGAACAGCTCCCTAAAAGCAGTATAGACTCCTAATTCCAAAACAGCTCACCAATACCGGAACCATCGTGTAATTTCCAAACAGCACCCCCTAAACTCCAGCTCCTCACCTGTCTCATTGCTCGTAACTTCCCATTGCCTCCATCCGAATGAGGTGCCAACCTCTTTCTGATCCTTTGTTCCTCAGCCCTGGCTTGTAATGCTGTAGGCAGCCTCAGGACTCCCTGCTGGTTCCCCTCCCACTCAGCCCGCCTGTCCCCACTTCATTCTCCTCCAGAGAGGCCTGGGAGTGGAAAAAGATGGGAGGGAAGAAGGAAAGGGAGCCTGATAGCAAACCAGGGCACCTTGCGAGTGGGGAGGCAGAACAAGGGAAACCCCATCCTCCAGATGAAGAAATAGAGGGCAAGGCCCAGGAGGACCTGGGCAGAGGGGAAGGGGCCTGGCCTCCATCCTTCCAGGGCCTAGGAAGCCTGGCCTGTAATGGAGACTCCTTCTAGGAAATAGGAAGGAGATTCTGGGAGGGGCTGCTGGCTTGGTGGAGCCAGGACTTAGAAGCATAGACTGGAGGCTGCTGTGGGAGGAGTGGACCTGCAACAGGCTGCTCCCAGCCAGCATCCCTGCGAGCCTGCCATGGGTTAATGACCATCCCAGGAAGCTGGCAACCTCAGCTTGGCATTTGGCACAAGCAGCCAGTCACCCAAATACCCACCTAGGACTGACACGGGTTTTCCTGCCAACCAGAAATGAGGAGTTGTAGAGGGCGCCGACCCAGGGCCCCTGGAGGCCAGGGTGGGAGCAGCCCAGGCCCAGGGCCCTGCTGGTGAGTCTCCAGGCTCCCTCCAATCCTCTACGACTGCGAGTGCTGTTTTCACTCTAAATGTCTCAATAGGAGGTTATCAACATGGCTAGAGGAGGGAGTCCCAGGTTTGCAGACCCACCCTTCTGGTACCCCCATACCATCTCCACCCCACTGAAGGCAGCTGGGGTGGGGGAGACTGTCAGGACAAGGAACTTTGGAGCTGACGGGAAAACAGCCCAGAAGCGCCTTCCCACCTTGGCTCCCCTCATCTTCAGGAATAGGAAACCCTTCTTGGGATCCATGTTGTAATCCAAAACACTGAAGGGTCGAGATGATGACAGACAAGGTCCCCAAAATTGACCTGGACATTGGGGCCTGGGAGGTTATGAAGGAGCACCGTCCACCTGGTGTTGGACTGAACAGGCTCCAGGAGGGGTCTAGGGGCACAGGGCAGTCTGGTGGCCAGGTACTTCTCTTTGCAATTTTCTTTCAAGACGTTAGCCAGCAGCCTTCCCTCCCTGCAGAACCCACACCCGGTAATCAAGGCTTCAGGCCTGCCTACTAGGCATGTCACTTGGTCTCTTGTCCTATGATTCTTTTCTGTAAAATGGAGGGTTGGGTTATATGCAACACTAAACATTCCCTATAATTCTATGACTATCAAATCTTAAAAAGCCCAGATCCAAAATCTCTCTCAAACTCTAGTCCTGAAGTTCTAGATACTTGATGGATATTTCCAATTGGCTGTCCCGACTGGCCCTTCAGATTCAACATGTCTGAAACCAATTCTTTTTCTTCCATCAGCTTCTGCATTGGCAGTGATCTCATCACTATCCCCTTGCCCAGACTCAGAAGGATAATGTCTGCCTGTTAATCCTAGTAGCTCTCCCCTCATTCCCCATCCCTACCCCTTATCCCATTATCCCTTGAGTCCTTTGGGTCTTTTCTCCCCAAGCTCAGCCAAATCCATCCATCTGTCATCCCCACTGCCACCATCTTAGTTCAGACCTTAGAGTTTCAACCCCGTGCCTTCACCTCTATCCTCTTTAACTCCACTATAATGTCCAGTGAACTTTCTAAAACTCAGTTCATCCAAAGCTCATGAGATTTCAGGGGATCCTATTTCCTCTTAAAGAACTTTTTACAAGGTATTTATGTCACCTACAACCTGGTTCTTCCAGTGTCATCTCTCAGCTCTCTCCTGCGCTCTCCACTCCAACTAAAATAGTCCCCTTTCTGCCCCCTCCCTGCCTCCAGTGTGGTCATGCTCACTTCTACCTCAGGAGTTGGCTCACATGGTGAACCTCCTGCCCAACTCCTGCTCATCATTGAAGAGCTGGCTCAAGTTTCACATTCTCCTTGCACGGCCTGTGCAGGGTTTCCCATACTATCTATGCTCCTCAAAGAAAAAGAGGGGACACTATGGTCAAATAAATTTGGAAAACCCAGAGTTCCACAACATTTAACAGTGTCCCCCTTTCTTGCAGGCTTTGCAGAGCCTTTAACAGGCTGATGTGACAGTGGATCTCCTACTACCAAGAGTAACTTCGTCATGGAACCCTTTTTTATAGCGTAAATGGATAACAGCAGACTCTGGAAATCACATTTCCTGATGCTTTGTGTTTGAATTCTGATTCCATCACTAACTAGTTTTCACCTCTGTAAAATGAGCATCATAATGACCTGTGTCACTTAGAGTTATGAGCGTTGAATGAGCTAATTCATATAAAGTGCTTAGCATGGTACGTTGTACCTAGTATGTGCTCAAAAAAAAATAGAAGCATGTACTGTAGTAACAGAAGTAGTAATGGAACAAACTGGGAAAAGCTTTACTCTGACACTTTTCACTCAACACTTAAGACTCTCAATTGCCTCATCTTTTCACTTGTATATCTTGAACATATATGACCATTTTCCCTCATGGTCTAGTACCATGCTGAGCACACAGTAGGAACTTGGCCTATGTGTTTTGATGATGACAATGGTGCTGTGGTTTGGTTGTATCTGAACGTTGGGAGAAGGTGTTCAATGTGGCTCCATGGACGGCCTGGATTGGAGCCAAGTAAGGCATAATCCCTCAGACCTTGGGAAAGAAAAAGAGATGAAGGAGCTAAAAGAATAGAATAGGTGGCACTAGTGAGGATAGGAACAAAAGAGAAAGAATGGTTGGTCAGCAGTTGCTGGAGGTCACCCTAGAGATGCTTATTTGTTTGGGAGAAATGAGATGAAACTAGATTTCATGTCCCCATGCCCCCAGTCCTCCAAAGCCCTCATGAGTTTTTACTTTGGGGGTACCCCCAGGGCACTGGGAGGTTTGTGGACAGAATCAGAGTAGACAGCTGGCGCCTTGGACCTCCTGGGAGTGTCTCAAGCCTCTTCAGTCGCCATGGAGACAGGCTGCCTCTGGACTCAAGAGACTCCCACAGGACCTAAGGCCCCTCACCCAGACTTTAGCCTCCCTCCCCTCAGGCACAGTCAGAGATAGGGCAGACCCAGGAGAGCAAGAAGTGAGAGATGGAGAGAGAGAGAGTGAGTGAGAGCCAGCAGCCAGAGCAAGGAGCTGAAGGAAGGGAATGGAGGGGGCAGGGCTGGGACACCTCAGCCCCAGGCAGCAGGGAGCACCCTAAGAGTGGGGAAGCAGAGTAGGTCAATCCAAAGAATTTAAGGATTCCTTCCTTTCTCCTTTGACCCGCCCTTCCGTAGCCCGGGCTGGTGATCATGATGGGGAGACACAGGCCAGAGGCAGCTAATTGCTGGGCTTTGAAGTGTTAGGATGAAGAGGCTGGGGAAGGGACTTTGGAAAATCTTGCCCTGAGGGAAGGTGGCTAGTATAATTAAGAGGTTCTCTGCCTTCACCTGAGGCAGGCAAGCTGCACCCCACACCTACAGGTGCTCTGGTCTGAGCTCTGTCAGGGGCTGCTCAATGTGGTCAGATGGGAAAGGTCAAGTCTCAGCCAGTGGAGAAAGGGCAGGACTTGGGTGCACCCCCACCTGCCCTCTCTTGGTGAAGGGTGTCATTCATAGGGAGAAGGCCTCACAAACATTAGGTGAGGGGACATGTTGCCAGACATCTCCATTGGAAGGCTGCTCAGAGGGCACTTTTCCCTGACATGGACATGGACCTGGGGGAGGATGGAGAGATGGTAAATTAAGATAGGGGTGGGGTAGAGGGGCAGGTCTAGGATGTGGGAAGGGGCAAAGAGAAGGGATGGGGAAATTGAGTCAGGACCTAAGGACAAAGGGCTGTTTCCAGTCTCTCTCGCTCCTTCTCTCAGTTCCAGGAAAATAAGAAACCAAAACTCCAAAAATAGAGAACTTTATTGTCAGGAATAAGTATTTGGGACTGGGGAAGGGGAGCAAGGGCCCAGCCCCAGGAGCCTGGGGTGGGAAAGAGGGTGACACACAGTACACACAGAAGGCACAAATGGGGAGGCCACCCCCCCGACAGAGTCCCCACCCAGTTGCCCACTAGGACCCCAGGTCTCCCTCTTTCTCCTTCAGAAAAGCACCCACGGCTGGTCTCAGATAGAGACTCAGGTTGGAGTAGATTTCTCCTCCACCTTCCTCTCCCCTTCTGCCTCTAACCCTTCTGCTCACCTGTCCATCAGCCCCCACCTGCAAGACCCAGCAGCTGGTCCAGTGTCCCAGGATTTAACAAGTCACAGGCCTCTCCCAGAGGGGAGGAGGCAGAGAGGAGACCACAGAGCACACCCTTCCTCAACTTTCCCTCAACCTGGTTGAGGCAGCAGGGTCATTACCAAGGCCTCAGCATCCCCAGATCTTTGGTCCCACCTCCCACCCTGGCTTGGGCTGGCCCCGCCATGGGCTGATGAGTTCACAGGCTGATACACCTGCTCTGTCACTCCCACACCTCGGTCCAAATGGCCCCATGGTAGGGGTGGGGCAGGGGCCGGGGCGTGCTGAGCCGCAAGGGCTGGCCTACCTGCTTGCTGGGGTATTTGGGGGGGTTGGTGCGGTAGCTGTAGTCGGAGTACTGCTCAGAGCCCGTGGACGTGGTGTCCCCGGTGCCCACGAATGTGTTTGCAGGCGGCAGGTCCTGCACCACCTGGTGCTTCTTGGAGGCCGAGGGTGACTGGGGCTGCAGCTGGATGGAAGGCAGTGGGGAGTTAGAGCGGTAGTGGCGGCCCAGGTCAGGGCTGCCTGGTGGGTAGTTGAGGGGCAGATGGATGCGGGGGCTGTCCCCAGGGGCATCGCTCATCAGGTTGAACTTGAGGGACTTCTGCAGCCCGGCCTCATCCTCATCCTCCACGGGCTTCACAGGCTTTGGAGACTTGCTCTTCTTGCCCTTGCCTTTGTTTCCCTTGGAGGCTTTGCTGCTGGGCTTGGGGGCATACAGGTCCTTGGTTTCCTTCTTCCCAGCCTGGTAGCCACTCTTGGCCTCCCGCTGCCGGCAGTAGCGCACGAGCACTGCCAGGGCAATGAGCAAGGCCACGGCCACAACACCAGCCACCACACCAAAGAGAATATTGCCACGCTGCTTGGAACGCTCGTATTCTGGATCCCCAGCAATGTCGATGTCCAGTGGTGTGTCCAGGCTGTGGCCCAGCAGGGTCTCCAGCAGTGTGCGGTTGGCCAGGGTCTCGTTGACATAAAGGTGCACCAAGGCTGTGCCATAGCGTGGGGGCTTGCCACGGTCACTGACCTTCACCACTAGGCGGTGCAGCCCATGGTGGCGACGCTCAATCTCCTTCTCCAGGGTGATGGCACCTGAATGCGACCCAATCTGGAAGAGTCCATAAGGGTTGCCACCAGCGATGCTGTAGGTCAGTTCGGCATTGACACCAGAGTCAATGTCCTCAGCTGTCACTTGGCTGACTGTTTCACCAAGACGTGTCTGGGGGGTTAGCAGACGGTGGGAAGTGTTGGAAGGGGCAGTGATGAAAGGTGCATTGTCATTCTCATCCAGCACATTGATGGTGACACCAACGTAAGCCGAGCGAGGTGGGACGCCACCATCCACTGCCTTCAGCTGGAAGGTATAAGTGCTCTGCTGCTCCCGGTCAAAGCTCAGGCTAGAGAGGATGGTGCCCGTGCCATTCTGGATAACAAAGTCACCGTTGTCCTGCTCCACCGTGAGCTGCACCCGGGCATTCTCCCCCTTGTCCCCATCAATGACTGTTACCATGCCCACAGGACTCAGCGCTGGCATGTTCTCCATCACTGAGAAGTTGTAGCCACTCAGCATAAATTTGGGGTCATTGTCATTGCAGTCCAGCACATTGACGAGGACAGTGGCTGTGCCCTGGAGGCTGGGGCTGCCCCGGTCGGCTGCCACCACCTTCAACTCATAGCTGTCCCGCTGTTCCCGATCAAGGGATGTCTTCACCCGGATCTCTCCTGTCTCAGGTGAGATGGTGAAGAGGCCCTTGGCAGCTGGCTCAGGCTCCAGAGAGTAAACCAGCTCAGCATTGGAGCCCGAGTCGGCATCACTCGCAGTGACCTCAGCGACCACTTCACCTGGCTTATTGTTTTCTGGGAAGGCGACCTCAGTGATGCTCTGGGTGAAGACGGGTGCATTGTCATTGACATCTACCACCTGTACCTTGAGGGAGTTGGTGCTAGAGAGTGGGGGGTTGCCGGAGTCCACAGCCACAATCTCAATGGTGTAGTCTTTGACCTTCTCGTAGTCAAGTGGGGTGGTGGTCTGAAGGAAGTACTTCTTCTTGCTGTCGCTTCCTGTCTCACTGGCCTGGCGTAGCTGGAAGGGCACATCACCAGCAACTACACAGGTGACAGCTGCATTCTCTCCCTCATCTCGGTCAGATACCTGCACCAGGGCCACAGCTGTCTCCTCTGCTACATCCTCTGAGATGTTAGCCATCCCGTCTTGATGGGTCACCAACCCGATGCCCCTGATCTCAATGGTGGGGGCGTTGTCATTCATGTCCTTCACAGTCACCACCACCTGGGCACGGGCACTCTTGGGGTTGGTGCCTCGGTCCTTGGCAAGCACTGAGAAGCGCAGGGTACTTAGGTCTTCACGGTCCACGGGGCCCTGCACAGTGATAAGCCCAGTGTTCCTGTCCAGTCGCAGAAGACGCCTCACAACTTCAGGTGCCTGGTGGAATGTGTAGTCAATCTCTGCATTGGCACCTTGGTCCGAGTCATTGGCCTTCACCTATAGGGCAGGGGAGGAAAATAGGGATTGGTTAGTCTGGGGATAGCAAAATAAGGGACGCATATGCTGCCTTTCCAACGAGCATGGCAGACGCGACTAATCTAACACGGTACCCTTTCCAAAAGCAGCACAGGTACTGCCCTTTCCCCAGTCCTGACACTGTGGCAGAGATTACCCATCTATTTCCCTGAGATGAGACAGGGCAGAATTAAGCTCTACTTATTATTCTTGTACTAGTCTGCCCAAATAGGCAGATCGAGATCCAACTAGCAACTAGGGCAGCCCTTCCACCCAACTGAACCGGCCTTCAACCCCTCTGAAGAGCTGGAAAGGTGTGAGTGGTAGAGATGGTGTGTATGCATATGTGGATGATATGCATGCATGTACACACACGGGAACGATTGTGTGATTATGTGAGAAGGTATATTTGTTTGTACACATGTGTGTTTGCACGTGAGGGGAGACTCACATGCCCACCTGGAGGCCACAGGTGAGGGGATTTCTTTTGAAAGCAGCCAGGTAGGGATGTGGGTCAGAGGGAGCCCGCCAGGCCACTGCTCTGTCAAACCGGGGAAACCTGTTTTAGCAGCTCCTTCCCCTCCCAGCTGGGCTGGCGCTGGCTAGGCACCAACTTGAGGAATCCGGCCGAGCCTGCGGCCAGGAGGGAGGGGTTGGTGTAGGCCACAGAGCCTGCTGGCAGCGGGCTGGGCTCCCAGCATCAAACAATGAACTGTCTGTCCCTTTGCAGTGGGCACGCCCTCCCACGCCAATGCCGACGCACACTCAGCCCAACTCTATACAAATATGGGTGGTAATGGGGCAACAAGAAGCAGGTGGGAATGGCCGTGAGGTACTACTGGTCAGGGAGAAAATGAGCGTTGGAATTACGTCACAGCCAGATGGAATATGATGGCAGTAGGGGTGGGGGTGGGGTTTGGGGGGGAGGATGAGACAGGCACAACTTGGCAGAGTCTCTGCAGAGCAAAGCAGGAGAGTCCTGGGTTCAAATCCCAGCTCCACCACTTCCCAACTAACTATGTGGCTTCAGGCCAAGTATTTAACCTCCTCAACCCTCAGTCTACAAATGTGTAAAATGGGGATAATAAGAGAACCTATTTCACAGGGTTGTGGTGAAGATTAAATGGGATAATACATGTAAAAGTGCTTAACACTGCCTGGCACATGGCCAGTGCTCCCTAAATAGCATTTACCCCTCTTTGTGTCTGTCTATCCATCCATCCTCCTATCTGTCCATCCCTGAAAATCAGTGCTGGGCACCGCACCTAGTGGGCCTTCCAGCCACTGCTAGTCTCCTCTCCTTCCTGCCAGGACTTTTTCGACAGTGGAGATACCTGGGTGGGGGTTCCCAGCTACCCTGGGCTCTGCTCCCCGCTGTGGGAGCCCAACTCTAACAGTTTCCCTCGCCCCACCCCCACCTTCAGTCTAACTATGTGTCACTGACTTTTTCATTATGATTCCCACCGTCTCCCTGTCTCCAGATTGGTCACCCAGCTTCTTATCTGTCTCTCTTGCCATCTTACCTCCCTTTGTCTCTGTCTATGACTTGACTTCTGTCTCTGCCTCCCTCTCATCCTTGCTCAGTTCCTTCTGCCTCTTTTCCACTGCTGCTTCTCTCCCATCCTCTTTTCTGCCCTGTCGCCTCTAGCCTCTTCTCTGCCCCACTTTCCTGCTTCATCGCCCTAGGAGGTGTTATAGCCACTACACACATAGGCTCTGAAGCCAGACTGTTGGACATGGCCAAGGTGTGACCTGAACACATCGGCTAGGTGCTATCAGGTAAGTTCTTAATCTCTATGGGCTCAGTTTCCCATTTGTAAAATGGGGATAATGCTTACCTTGTACTGTGGGGATTAAATGATATAATACACATTATGTGTTTAGAACAGTGCCTGACACCTAGGCTATTATTATTCGCCATCCCCGACTGTCTGTCTCCCTGTTCTTTCTCACTCTCTCTCCTATAGGTTCCAGTCCACCAGCCTCTAAATAAAAAGACTGAAACTCCTCCCCACGCTTCACTTCAGTTTTGAGGGTACAGGACGAAGGGTTTCTTAGGAGGGGTAACGGTGTGCAGGCCAGGCTGAGCCCTCCTCATCTCCCTCGCATCTAAGACAGCCAGCTTCAGCCCATGGGGAAGGAGAAAGGAGCTGGGGCTGGCAGGAGGCCAGGGCCAAGATGACAGTGGGAGATACGCCCACCCGTCTGCAAGGACGCTATCTTTGCTCCCTCCCAGGCTCTGGTCCCACCAAGCGGCCCAGCCCCTGGGGCAGTTCCCATGGAGAGGGGTGCTGAGAACTTCAACAGAGGCAACCAACTCCCCCGTGCCAAGCACCCCACACCCATGGCACCCCATGTCTCGGGGAGGAAGCAGGTGTACAGACATCTGATTACAGTTTTCTAGAACTCTGAGGACTCACCTGGCTAAAATGGTCTCATTTGACTTTGTCAGGGAGGGGCAAAGTAAGGCTCTGTCCTCCAGCTTCAGTAAAATCTCATCTGGTAAAGGGCCCCTGGTTAGGAAGATATTCTCATCTCTAGAGAGATTCTACTTGGACAAAAGGTGATTCTCTTGTTCCAACTGGGCTCACTTGGCTGGGGAGGAGGGTATCACTTTGACTTGGGAGGGGGTTTCTCTTCTCAGCGGTTTCTCCAACTTGAGTCTGCTTTGGGGATGGGGGATTACTGTTCATATGCTATGTCACTGTCACCTAAGTAGCTTGATAGAGGGAAATATCTATGATATTGATAGAGGAAACGACCAGCTGGGGTGGGCTGGGGCTTGTGGGAAGATCTCACCAGGCTGGGGATGGGGAGAAGAGGTCTTACTATAGGATCCTGGCAATTTCCCCTCTAAGTGAAGGGAACTCTCACCATGTTGGGGTGGGCTCCCATTTCTAAAGGTGTGTCACCCTGACAGTTAGATGGAGGGGCCTCTTACCTGGATGACCGAGTGGCCTATGGGGCTGTTCTCAGACAGCTCGGCCTCATAGGAGGGCCGCTCGAACTTGGGGGCGTTGTCATTGGTGTCGAGCACAGTGACTCGCAGCAGGGCACTGCTGGCGCGTGGGGGGCTGCCACCATCCTGCACCTTGATGGTGAGGTCATAGGAGTCCCAGCGCTCCCGGTCCAGGTTGCCCATCACTATGAGCTGCGGCTGCTTCCCCTCCTGGTCCTCTGCCACCTGCAGCCCAAATAGTTCCTGGGCCTCAGGCCCGGCCTGCAGCTCATAGGTCGCCACACCATTGGGGCCAGCATCACGGTCCGAAGCCACAGGGATGGAGAAGAGTGAGCCAATGTTGGTGTTCTCAGGGATGGGCAGCGTGATGACTGGCGAGGCGAAGTTGGGTGTGTTGTCGTTGATGTCCTGTACCTCTATCTGGCCCTCTAGCAGCCGGGGACTGCCATTCTGCACGAGGTCCGTGATAGACACCTCAAACTCCAGGATGCAGGGCTCACCAGGGAGCTGGTTCTGGCACTCACGGAGCCCCTCACGGTCTATAGAGGTCTCGGTGGTGAAGATGTCGCCTGTCTTGCCATCTACCCGCAAGTATGGAGCGCCTACCTCTAGTTTGTACAGGTGGCCCACATCTGGAAAACCGTAGTCGGCTGCGAGGCTCCCAATGAGGGTGTTGGGCGGCTGTTCCTCCGGCACCTTGTACACCACCCGAGTGGCATGGCCTGGTGATGGAGCCAGCAGGAGCAGCAGTGCCAGCAGAAAGGGGGACAGCAGCAACCGTTGCCCCCTGGGGCCTGGGCTGGGCCTCAGGGGCCCCATCCTGGCAAGCTCCAGAATCAGAAGGGCTGCAAGGGGAAGAGGCAAAACAGGCAGTCAGCCGAGAGGGGGAATCCGGCCCTGAGAGAGCTGCTCACATCCAGCCCCCTAGCTCCCTCTCCCCACCTACATGTGACTCTCCCACCAGGAGAGCTCAGCCCCAGCACAGAACCCTGACTCCAGAACCCAGAACCCAGAGTCTCACCTTTAGCTGGGTGTAGCAGCAGTGTCTGCTCCAGCTGGAGGAGCCGGTAAGGGGCTGGAACAGGTCTAGAGCAGCGCCTGCCCATGGAACGCCCTGACCCACTGACACTCCCTCCTCCTTCCCTGCTCTCTCCGCTGTGCTTTGCCCAACACCTCCTTCTCACCAGCATCCTGCCTTAGTCACCCAAGGTAATTACCCTGATACTGAGATAGGGAGAGACAGAAAGTGGAAGGGTGAGGCCTTGAGCCCCTCAACATACACAGTAGGACAGAGACATAGGCACCCTTTACATTCCCCAGACCCAAGATCATTACTGCCCGCACTGAGGGCCACTCAGGTTGGCTGGAGAGGGAGGGGATAACGTCTTGTTTCTCTCTCTTCTGAGATGCCAAGTCAGTGTATGCATATGAAGTACGACAGACATCTCAAATCCCTCTTTTCTGACAATAATCACCCACAGTGTCAAGTGTCCCCCACCCCCCATGAAGGGTCGGCTTGAACTGGGCACCAATCAAGGCTTGAAAATGGTTAGGGTTGAGGAGTAGGTCTTAGCCCTTCCCAATCTCCCTGAGCCTGCACCCATGTGTGCACATACACAGTCACCAAGCTCCCCTCATCTTCCTCTCCTGCTTCTACTGGGGGGAAGGGAGACAGCAGGAGGGATGTAGAAGAAGAGAGTAGAGGTCAAGATTGGGGTCAGGACTGACTTGCCCTGGAACCGGCAATGGGAGCTGCCCTGGCCTGTCCTTAGCAACAAGGAGCCCAGCAGGTCTAACTGGGACAGAGCTGCCAATGACACCACAGGCCTTTCCTTGACCACTCCCCCTCACCCCTGCTCACAGGCTCTCAGTGAACATCTGACTCCTATTTGACCCCTATCCCCACAAACATCCAGCCTCTATTTCACACCTGGCCCCTCCCTTCCTTAACTGGTCCAGTCCCATCTCATACCTGCCTCTCCCTGCTCTCCTCCAAATCCTTCCAATTAGAGCCCTGTACGCCCTAACCAATCCCAAGCTGCGCCCCACCATCACCACAATAACCCACTTTAACTGCCCATCTCCCCCAGTTGTAAGGCTGTGCATTTGCAGACCCCAGCCAGACCTGCCAGCCACGGTCCCAGTCTTGACTCCTTCTCCTCTCCAACAAAACCACGGCCAGCCCCTCTATTCAAAGCCATAGTCTTTGGCCCAGCATTTTCAGCAGAGGGCTCAGGCTCAATCTCCTTTCCCCACCTTGCCACTTGCACCTGGGATACCCGCCCCACACCTGGCAATCCCACCCCAGGCCCCATCACAGACCACACCCACCCCACGGAAGGCAGGCTCTGGTCCCCCAGGAAGTCTTCCCAGGCCCCTTCAGCCCACAGTGACCTCTCTTTCGTTCAACTCACAGCCACTTATTGTCTGCCCTAATCCCGAAGCAATGAATCACTGTGCCGCCTGGGACACCGCCCGGCCGTGTTGTTCAACTCCAGTATTGTGCACCTATTCCTGTGTTCTCTGCCTCTCCAGGCAAGTGCCAGACATCCTGAAGGAAGGGACAGGGCTCCCTACACTCATCCCCCAGCCCCCACTCAGGCACCTTCACAAAGCTGGCACACTGTAGGTGCTCATTCATGCATTCAATGAATGTTTACTGGGTGCTTACAATATGCCAGGCCTTGTCAAGACAGACGCAATCTGCCATCGTGGAGCCGACACTGGTCCTAATTCAATGACTATTTGTCAGTGTTGTTTGGTTGTGCCCATTTGGCACATATAAGGCAGCAGTGTGGAGTAGAACCGGGACTGTGACATCACAGTCTGGGGCAAACCCCAGCTGTCCACTTCCTGGCTGTAAGAGCTGGAATAAATGATTTAGAGCCTCAATTTCCTTATCTGTAAAATGGGGATAATACTACCTATTTCCAAGGGAATTTGAGATCATGCGGACTAAATGCCTAGCACACAGTGAGTACTCAACAAATGCTCCCACAAAGCACTTACGATTGTACAGTCATTCACTGCTTAACGATGGGGATACATTCTGAGAAATGCGTTGTTAGGCAATTCTGTCCTTGCGCGAACATCATAGAGTGTACTTACACAAACCTAGATGGTATAGCCTACTACATACCTAAGCTATACAGTATGAATCTTACGGGACCACAATCGGATATGTGGTCCATCATCAACTGAAATATTGTTATGTGGTGAATGACTGTAGTTACATAGCTGTTTGGGAAAAAATGTGAATTGTTTGTCTTTCCTTCAAGACTGTAAGCAGAGAACAGGAGAGCCCCTGCTTTGTTTACTCCTCCATCTCAGGACCCCGCCCTGGACACGGCACACAGGAGGCACTCAGTAAAAGCTCCTGAGTGACTGATTCTTTTAGCTCCCAGACTTAGCCTATCCCGGCACTCTATATGTGCTCCTTGCTTATTTCCTTGCCCAACTCCCCTACTCCACTGAGAACCTGCTGGAGTCAAATTTAATTCCTCTCTGTTTAGGTCCATAATGCTCACTGAACGCTCACATTCCTTACACTAGTCAGCCGCCTCACTTCCTCCAGCGGCATTAAAGTGCTCAAGGTGTGTGAGGCCGTTATCAGATTAGTGTGTGTTCCCAGTTGCAATCTTAATCTCTTTAAAGGAGGGAGGAATTTATCTGATGCTCCATTTGGATCCACCCTCTAGCCGCTTCCCCTCTGCCTGCATGGACCTGGCATAGGGCTCATTTTACCATCAAGCTCCCTCCCAAACAAACACACCTGTCTCCAAAGAACCTCACTCCCTTCTGGGCACCTTATCCTGGCCTCGCCCGCCACCCCCATAGCACATACAGCATAGGATCACCGTATGCACCAGTTCCATGCACGGGTCTTGGCAGGGTGGGGGTTACATGGGAATTACCCCAAACCCGACAAAGAGGAGAAACAGGGCAGTGACTGCCTCCACTCATTCTCCAGAGGATTCTTAACCTTTTTGGATCACATCCCTCTTTAAGAATTTTATGAAACTATGGTGCAGATGTTTCCAAGAAAAATGAATGCTCACAAATTTTGGTTACAAATTCAGAAGTCCGTGGTCTGGCAGAGTCAGGGTGACTTTGATTTGTAGCTGCTCCAAGAGCTACAGAGTAAGCCCCCACCTTGGGGCTTCCTTCCCCATCTCAGGGTCACGAGTTGGGGCTCTAACCTCAGGTCTCCCAGGCAGCACAGACACAGCATGCTTGTGACACCCCTCCATACACACATTCTCTTTCTCACTCACCCTGTCACCCTTAAGGAGATCCCTTGCCTCCAGCCAGCAGAGGAGTCAGGAAAGGATTGTGGTATCCAACTTCTAGGTTGGAAAGAGAACCACAGATGAATATCCAAGGCAAGGAAGGTATGGGGACGAGGAAGGGTCCTGAGAGGTAGGAGGGATTTGGGGGCAGAAATGGGTTACCAGAGTAGAGGCAAGAGCTGAAGAGTGTTTAGGCCCTTGAAGCACCGGGAGAGTTCCTTTAAAATGAGTATTATCTGGCCCCACCCTTAGGAATTCTGATTCTGGAGGAGGGACCTGAAGAAACTCCCAGGTAGGAGAGTGGAGGCAGCAGGATGCAGTGGTCCTGGACCATCTGGGAACAACTCTGAGATACACTAGGTCCTTAAGAAAAAAGTGAAACTCTATTATCACTTTTACCATCATCATCATGCCAGCTAATGTTCCCCGAGATGTTACTCTACTTATATACCTTATCCCATCTAATCCTTCCAACCCTCTGAAATGGTTATTATTTATTATTACACCACTCCTCATAGTATAGATGATAAAATTGAGGCTCAAAAAGAATAATTAATTGTCTTAGGTCACAGAAGTAGTAAGATGAGTCAGGATTTGAAAAATAAGAATGCCCCTTCACATTCCAGAGTCTGGGGAAAGGCTGGATGGGGGAAGGGGAAATTAACAGAAATCATGTAGGCTAGAATATGGTGTTTGCTATTCACTCTCCCTCCCCGCTCCCCCCCACCACCCGCCCCCCACAACGTCCCTGGGCTCCCAGACCTGCTTGGCAAGGAGGGAAAGAGAAGGAGGGCCGAGGGTTCACGGACTGAAGGACCCCAGGCCTCCCAGGCTGCTCCTCCTCACCCAGAGGCCCATAGGGATGCAGGGATAGAGTCAGAGAAGCCAGGAACAGCAGTGAGGTGGGCCCTTCCTCACCTTGGCCCCCACCATCCCTGAACTTTGTCCCGGTGGTTGGTTATCAGGAGTCATTAGTCCCAGACGGAGGCCTTTGAAGTGATTAGTGCTTTATCTGCCCTTCCCCAGGTACTGGCTGCCTTCCTGGCAAAGGTGTCCCTACCTCTACCCAGTAACACCGGCACCCAGGACGGAGAAGCCAGAGCCTCAGCAGAGACAGTGACTCATTCTTCTCAGGCCTAAGGAGCACAGTGAGGTGTGAGGGGGCAGAGTCCAGGGAAGGCCAAGGAAAACGCCATCTATTTCAACATCTGCAGAAGCAGTAGGACAGCAATGAGGGTTCACCGAACCTTCGCTTGCAGCCCACCTCAGGGAGCAGGGTCCACTTCCTGCTGAATGCTGTGGCCAGAGAGGAAACACTGAGGCAGCCATCACTGTCTCAGTGACCAGGTCAGTTCTGACCCACGACCCTCACCCCTGCACTGTTACACAACAGCCATCGCCACCCTGGGCACAAAACACCAAGCAACAAAGCGAACATCTAGGAGAGGAGGGTAAGCAAGCAGGGCTGTGTGGGGTGGAGCTGTTCAGAGGCCTCCCACAGAGAAGAAGGGCACAGCCTCAGTTCCTCTCCCTTCTCTCCCCAAACCCTCTATTAGCCTCTGCAGGGCTTCCAGGCACCTGCTTTCTTGAGTCAGATTGTCAGGGTTCAAACCCTTGCTACTACTTCCTCATGGCGTGACCTTCACCAAGTGATTTCACCTTTCTGAACCTATTTCCATACTGTGAAATGGAAATAATAAATCCCGCCTCTTTAAGTTATTTGGGAGGATTAAATGAGATCTGATGCATTAAAGTCTATTACCATGTAAAGGACAGATATCTATATATCTATATCTATATTTCAATCACTGAATAGAGCATGTTATTTCTAGCATCAGGCACACAGCAGGTGCTCACTGGTTCAATAAATAAATGAACCAATACCCTGCCAATTGGGAAGACCTATGAAGGCAAGGACAGTGTGGGTGTGAATCTTACTATTGTACAGCATCCTCACCCCCAACCAGGGGCTCTGGCAGATGGTAGGTGCTCAGTACATTGTTGAAAGACTCTGCAGCACCAACTATCCTTGCTCATGGTAGGGGCAGCCCTCACTGCATATCAGAAGGGCCTCTTCCATCTCCTCTCTCCCAGCTCCATTCCCACTCAGCTCCTCCCCCACCTTGAGGCCCTCTCCTGGCCCTTCCACCCCACTCTTCCCAGCGCTTAGCTCACTATCTCCATCTTGCCCAGCTCCCCTGCTCAAGTAGCCACAGCAGCGGACCTCTGCCAGGAGAACACCAGACCAACAAGACACCCTCTTCCAGCCGAAATCCCTTTTGGAATTGGAAATTGGGTGGGCGGGGTAAGGGGGACAAACCAAACGCGGCCAGAACTGAAACCAGGCTTGCTCCGCCACCACACGGCCCCTGGCCCTCTCTGGAGGCGCTTCTCATCGCTCTCTCCTCGATTCCACCCCGTGCCCTGGTCTAGTTGTAATCACAGATTTCGGTCCTCCCAGAACCCCACGTCAAGAAGGTACCCACCCCCCCACCACCTCTGGGCTGTCACAAACATCACCTGGGTGCCCTTTCCCCGCAGCTACCGAGGGTTGGCCCAGAGCAGGTAATGGAAGGCTCCCTCCGTCTTCCGGCACGAGTCCTGGACTCTGCCGGCCGTGGCAGCCCCGTGTCTACACGGTCGTGGGCAGCGGGTGCTCCCCGCACACACCCAGAGCGTGGGGATGTATTTGGGGGAGGGCGGCCGCACCCCGACTCTGGCGGCGCCGGGCCTCCCAGAGCTCAAGGCGAGTCGGGGGCGCGGCGCGGTAAGAACGCGCCTCGGCCAGCGGGTCCCCTTGCGCCCCCCGCCCCAGGGGCCGCCGCAGGGAATCCCTCCTCCTTCGCATCTGGGCCTCAGCCTCGGGTCCCCAGCAAGCGGGCGTCGGCGGGAGCCGCGCAGCGGGCGCCGGGAGGGGGCGGGGAAGGAGCGGGCGCCGGAATCACAAAGCGGCGAGCCCGGCCCGGAGGCGACATTCTGGGGAAACAGACCCTCTCCGGCGGGCGGAAAACGGTCTTTGCCCCGCGCTCAGTCCTCAAAGACCTCAACGCCGCCCCGAATATTTCCTGCCAGAAGGAATCGTCGCCGAACAGTGCTGGGGAAACTGAGGCCAGAAGTCTGGGCTACCGAAGGTAGCTGGGGGGAAAGGGTGCGAGTCCATTTCGCCTACCAATTTTGTTCCTGCGCGTGCCGCGACCTCCCTTCTGGCCCCAGGGCCTTGCCCGCGCACACGACTCTGGCCTGCAACCGAGATCCCGCGCAGGGGGCGCCCAGGTGTGAGAGGGACCCAGGTGTGCGGGACCCAGGTGCGCTGGGGACCCAGATGGCTCGGAGAATGTAGCTAAATGGTCCGAAGAGAGTCGCAAACACTGCCCCAGGCTTGCACCCTCTGCAAAGGGACCTAGGGCCCTGGGGCCCAGGAGGGATGGCGCGGCCTGCCAGGTCCAGCTTGTTCCGGGAATACCCGGCCAGGCTGGCCCCGGAGTGGGGGTGGGGGAGGCGCCGGCAGGGAAGCCGGTCCGGCCGGCCCCTAGGGTTCCCGCTGTGAGGATATTTACAATAACAATGTTGTGATTAAGGTGAAGGGGCGCTAGGGGCTCCCGGTCGGCTTCCCCTGACGGAATCCGGCCTCCGAGGGAGAGCGGCAGTGTGTGTGTTTGTGTGTACACGCTGCAAGGTACACACTGTTGGTACAAGGTGTGTGTGACACCCAGTGTTAAGATGTGTGGAGCAGTGGATTCTGTGCTAGTGACGGTGAGGCGCTGCTGTAGGTGCTACTTACTGTGTTAGGGTGTGTGCCGGCAAGGCGTGTGCTGAGACACTGGGTTGTGTGATTATGTGGGTGCAAGGGAGGGGTGCAAGCCAGACCTGTGTTGTGTACCTATATTCTGGCCAAGGAGTGGGCAACATGATTTATGTTAGGGTGTGTTCCTTAAAGGAATATATGTGTATGAGGCTAGGTTTTGAGTGTTCATCTGGCGAACTGTGGCCGTGATACTCATACACGAGGGACCGGGATTGTGTTTGTGTGTCCACGTCGCCGAATGTCACACCCGCTGTGTTCTTTTGCTCTGCATGGCCACGGGTTGTGTGTGTCCGTGCTGCTGAGAGTGCAGACACTGAAGCGGATTTTGAGCTAGTGACGGTGCCCCAGTGGGCGCTGGTGTGCGGGAGGTATGTCTGTGTGCACATATGTACAGATGTATGTATAGGTGTACATATGTCCGTGGTCTGGCCCTCCGGGTGCCTGCGGGGAGCTGGAAGCGCCTGAGTGATCCGAGCTGGTCGCCCAACAAGTGTGTGCGCGCTGTGGATGAGGGTCCTTGCTTGCTTCGTCCTCGAGGAGCGCCCCCCACCCCCCACTGGGGGCTTCGCGCTTCCCCCAAACCATCTCCATCTCGTGCGCTCTGGGGAGTCCCCTTATCCCCGCGGCTCCAAGCGCGCCGGGGTGCGGGATGCCCAGGCTGGGGTCCGATTCAGCACTCCCTCTCCTCGTTCGGCTTCTCGCATCGGACCTTGGAGGCCAGGGTGCCCCGGCCGCAACCCCCGCTCGGAGCTCCCAGCCGCCCCCACCTCAGCCCCGGCGCGCTGAGCACCGACTGGGCCCCGGTGGCCTCGCTCCGCTGAGCGCCCCTCCCTCAGCTCCCGCCGGCCATGGCCGCTCCCGGCCGGGAGCCGCCGCCGCCTCCACCGCCGCCGAATTCTTACCCGCCTCGGGGCAGCGCCGGCCGCCGGCCCTGCAGTCCATGAGCCGCCACTGGCCCCGGCCCGCTGCGGCTCGGCACGGCTCCGGCTGGCGCTGCGGTTCAGGCTCCGGCTCCGGCTGGCTCTGGGCGCAGCAGCCCCAGCGGCTTCGCGTCCGCGCCGCGCTCCCGCTCCCCGAGTGTGAGGCGGCGGCAGCGGCGGCGGCGGCGGAGCCAGCAGCGAGCGGAGCGCACGGCCCGGCCCGCCCCCTCCCCCCCCCCTCCCTCCTGGCCCGCCCGCCCGCCTCCCGCCCGCCTCCCCGCCCCCCCTCCGGGCCGGGAGGTGGAGCTCGGGGCCGCTCTGGTCCCGCTGGGAGGGGACCACCCCCCTGACCCGATCACCGCTCCCTAAAGCTAGGACCCCCCCTTCGCTTTCTCCCCACTCCCCGGGGCCCGGATACACAGGCTGTCCCCCTCCATGGCTCTTCACCTTATACTTATCCCGCCCAAGCGCGCATCTGGGACCCCTCCCGAATTCCCCTCCTACCCTCAAACACCTGTCCCCTACCCTGCCCCCTGGGAAGTCGAGGCAGGGAAAGCGTCTTCTTCCCTGGGCATTTGTTCCCCCAGGTCCACCTTCTTCCCGCCCAGACCCCCAGATCACCCCGGGCGGCCCTCCCTTCCCACTGAGCTTCGGGGAAGTCCACCCCTCCCCCTCTGGCCGGAGCCGCAGAGCGGTCAGCCTCGGTGGCCGCAGCACGCCGTGGGGGTGGGGCTATGGAGGGGATCGTGGGAGGGGGAGGGTAATGGCACCCAGAGGTCCTCTAGAATGAGGATGGGGGAGATATACAAGTGTGAGGATGGAGTGACGCGCCGAGCTCGGGCTATTCGAGGGTCCCCCAATCACCTGCCCTCAGGGCGGCAGGGAGCTGTGGCCGCGCACATTTTCCAGTGACATACAGACAATCACACAGAGTCACACGGGTTCCTGTCCCACGGGGCCGCGCAGTGTCACGGCCTGTGTCACACGCCCTCGTAGTGCCGCACGCTCCCTGTCACACTCACACTCACCGAGTCACACACGGTGTCACACGCAGTGTCTCACACACTCGGATACTCAGTTTCTCCTGCTCAGCTCCGGCTCTCTGGCGCCATCTACAGGTCTCTGAGCAGCTTGGGAACTCCCTTTCCTGCGCTCAGGGTTTGGAACCCCAGGCTCCTGAGTGCCTCGGTTCAAGATGATCTCCCGCCTGCCGCCCCTTATAAGCCTGGGCAGCAGTTCCAGGTCGGAAGAACGAGGAGGGTTGTCCCTGGCAAGGCCTGGCGTTGGTTGTGGAAAAGCCTGTGGTGGGATGACTGGTTGCTGGGCCTCAGTTTGCCCTTGCCTTTGACTCCTCCTCCCTGTCCTCCCCATTTTCCCTGTTTCTACCACGCTTCTATCCCTTGTCTCTTTCCTCTGCTTCCTCACCTTCTCATACCTAGCCTTCCTCTGTGGAACACTCTTCAGGGTAAAGGGTAGGATCTCTGGTCAGCTAAGGGGGCACGCAAAGACTGCCCAAGATCTCTCCCAGAGCAACCCTCCTCCACCGGACTCCCTTTCTGGCCAGGGTCTTGCTGCAGTCCTCCCCTCCCCCAGTCTTCAGCCCCAGGAGCCCAGGTGGGGGGCTCTGGGTGGAAGATGGAGCCAGCTAGTGAAAGGAGGATCTGTCCTGTAAGTGGCTTCTCTCTGCACCCTGCAAAACTCATCCTCTCCTCATCAGTGAGCACAGCTCCAAGGAAGGAATCAGTGGCCAGAGAGAAGAAATCTCCCACAGAGGAGCTGCCCCAGCCTCCCTGCCCCCAGCATGTGCCTGCTGCCCACTGCAGCAAACCCTCCCCAGTCTGCTTGCTGGGAGCCATTCAAAGGCTCCTCTGTTCTCCTCCCTTGCTCACGGCTGAGCAAGATAGGCAGCCGCAGCACTGGGCAGGAAATGCTAATCTCCCAGATGTTCTCCTCCGTCCTCCCTGCTCTGTCACCATCAAACCCAAATCCTGCACCAAGTGGTAGGAGCAGAACTGGGCCAGGGCAACACCAGGGTGTGCCTACTTTTCTCTCTGCCCCTCATCCCCTTCTACCCCAGCTGCCAGGCTGGGCTCTGTGGGGACCTGAGCCTGGGGCAATGCAGACACGGGGATGGGGCTGTCTTCCCCAGGAAGGAAGGCAGGCAAAGGGCAGGAACTGGGAGGTGGCATCTGAAGAGGAAAGAAGCAAGGCTCCTGGCCTCATACCAAACTGGGAGGAAGACCTGGTTGGCAAGTTGAGCATTGGGGGGCTCCTGAAACTGATGGTGCCTGAGATTCCAGCTGAGCCTCTGACAGGGGATTGGAGCCTGGGGGATGCTAGATGTGGGAGTGGTTGGGATGCTTGGGGCCTAAGGCTCTTGCTGTAATATGTGTGTACCTGGGAGGGACTGTGGCTAAGAGGATTAGGATGTTGTAGGGCCTGGTACTGTAACAGAAAGCCTGTTGCCTATGATTGCAGCTAGGACAACTGTTGTGATGCTATGATGCTGATGTGCCTAGGCTATAGCCAGAACAATCAGATTATTGGAGAGGCTGTTGTCAAGCTGTGTGTGTGTGTGTGTTCGTGTGTGCGTATTGAGGGGAGAGCTATAACTGAAACGCTTCAGTTGAGCCTGAAGCTGTAAGTGTGAGGCTGGCACACCTGAGACTGGTTATAGCCAAGAAGCTGTTCTCTGTTCATATGACGTAGGTAGAGCTGTAGCTGGATCCATTGCCTAGGTCCTAGGAGATGAGAAGCTGTTGCTAGGAGCCTGTACCTGGGAGGAAGGCTGTTACCTGGGATAAGAGCAGAGCTACTGTTGTGTATAGGACTGTAGCTGGGATGCTATTGGTCCTGAAGCTATTGCTGTGATGACAGCATACAGGGGATTGGTTATAGCTAAGATGCTGTTGCCCAGGCTTGTGGCTGGGCTGTGACTGTGTGCAGGACTCTAGCTGGTATGCTGTTATGCCTGCAGCCATAGCTCTGAAGCTCATGTGTAGCTGGGAGGCCATTTCCTGGTAATATAGCTAGACCACTGTTGTGTGGGGGCCGCAGCCCAGGCTCCGTTGCCTAGGAGATGAGAAGCTCTTCCCTGAGATGCTGTTCTGGGAGGCCGAATGCTACCTGTGATGGGAGCTGATCTGCTGTTGGAGCTGATCTACTGTTGTGCTTGGGATGGTTCCCGGGTGGCTATTGCTGCGTCTGTGGCTGGCTGAGTGGGGGAAGGCGAGCGAGTTCTGCCTTGAGGTCTGGGAGATGCCAGGAGCCCGAGGCTGGGCGGGGGCTGCCGCTCTGGGGAAGCTTCAGCAGCTGCTCTGCTGTGGAGCTGGGAAGCCTGTTTTCATTACTGTTTTAACTCTTTTTTTAACCTTGTTTTTCTCTCGGTTGCACTTTCGCTCACTCATTAATTTTGGTATTTTTCTCACGGTGCCTCAGCCCCTGTCACGGCTGCCATGGCAACAGGAGGCAATGTGCACAGTGCCAAAATATCTGATCAAAAAATAACCAAAATAAGCAAACACCAAAACAGCTGTGCTGGGGGCTATGGCCAAGGGAGAGCCGATGGCTCAGGTCCTAGAAACCCTAGGTTCCCAAAGGACCCATTTCACTTCCCCAGGGAAGCTTTGCTGAACCTTCTGATAACCTGAGAGACCCCTTTCCAAGGGACTCCGATAACACATTCTCCCAGGACTCTGATTTCCAATGGTCGCTGACCAAGAGGCAGCTTTGCCTGGGGTGGGAGCATTGAGAGAGTGTGAGGCCTGGGGCTCACCTCCCAGGAGCTAACAGTCAAGCCTCTAAGAAGCTCCCTCCCTGCCTTAGCCACACACATCTGCACCCACCCATCCCTCTCCTGGTCCCGCCTTTTTTAGGCTTCTTCCACCCTCTCTGCTCCCAACCCCTGCTTGGCCACCTCCACTTTCTTCTTTTCATACCCCAACATCCTGACAGGATGGACAGAGGAGAGGAAGCAGCAGCCTCCAGGCCCACCTCCATCTCCTCAGTGGAGGTACTAGGGAGGGAGCCTCTGGCCACCTCTAGCTCCAGATGCCTAAAGGGACATTCCTGGACAGCCCTGAACGCCCACTCCAATTTCCCCTCCTATTTCCCAGGAGCCTGCTAGTTTCCTGGGGGCCTCCTCTCCAGTGGAGGGGTAAAACGATAGAGCTTCGTGTGAAATACGAAGGGGCAGAGACCTCTTGCTATTCCTGTCTTCCTTCACCCACTAATTTCCCCTTTGAGGGGGCTTGTCTAGATGTCTGGAACAGTGAAACTGGAGGAACAAGAAGAAGCCCCTCAACTCTGCCTCAATCTCATTGTGCGACTACATCAAGGCTCCTTTTTTTTTTTTGGAAGATTAGTACTGAGCTAACATCAGCAGCCGCCAATGCTCCTCTTTTTGCTGAGGTAGATTGGCCCTGAGCTAACATCCGTACCCATCTTCCTCTATTTTATATATGGGATGCCTGCTACAGCATAGCTTGATAAGTGGCACAGAGGTCTGCGACCGGGATGGGAACTGACGAACCCCAGGCCAGCGAAGTGGAGCTCCCGGGAACTTAACCACTCCATCTTGGGGCTGGCCCAGAGCTCCTCTTCTTGATGCCCTTCCACCAACAGTGAAAGTCTCACTTCCAACAGGTCTCCATCCCCCTCTGGGAATAGCTAGAACTCACCTCCTGCTCAGTACTTTAAATTCCTCTCCCTCCTCCCCCCCCAAGAGCAGAGGTGGCCTTGGCCTCCTGGCAGAGCCATCCTGGGCCTGTTTCCATAGAAACCGGGCAGTCTGTGCAGTGC